TTTGAAACTTTTTTTTTTTTTTTTTTTTTTAGAGATTATACTCATGAAAAGCTATTTCTAGCCAATTAAATGGACATTACCAGATTTTATATTCACTTTATACTCCGAAATTAATGACATTAATATTTTTTTTAATAATTTAATTGTATATTTTATTTTATTTACTAATTTTGTATTTGGGTCAAAGACGTTAAGATGTCCGCATCAAAATAAATTTACAAAAGTGATTTTATGTCCATAGAAACATTGTCAGAACACAGAGTGTATCTATATACTGGAATTTTATTATTATTATTATAAAAATTACTACACATCTATTTTAATAAGAACATTATTATTAAAAAAACGTATTAATATTATAAAAAAATAGCATAACACTAGAAGAAATATGATTGATGTGTAAATTTGAATTTCAAAATATAATTCTTTCAAATCTATCTACATTTATTTATTCTGTATTGAGGCACAACATTATTATTGAAATTTGCATAAATACAGTACAAAACATGATTATGATGTGTTATTTTGAATTTAAAAATCATTTTGAAAAATATAAAGTAAAATATTTGAGAATTCTTTTTTTTTAAGTGTCAAACGATTAATCGCGATTAATCACATCCAAAATAAAAGTTTTTGTTTACATATATATGTATGCTGTGTATATTTATGTATATATAAATACACACACATGCATGTATATATTTCAGAAAAATTTTATGTTTATAATTAAATATATTTATATATAATATAAATTATATGAATATAAATATATAAATGTACATATTTTCAAAATATATATACTGTATGTGTATATATTTATATATACATAATAAATATACAAAGTACACACATACATTGTTAACAAACTTTTATTTTGGATGCGATTAATCGCGATTAATTGTTTGACGACACTACTTTTTAAAATTTTTATTTTAATCTATCCTCATTAGATTAAAAAAAGTCCATCTAGCATTAAGACAGTAGAATAAATTAATTTGAATAAAAAAAAGAAAGGTCCACTATAAAAATATAATTTAAAATAATACATAAAAAAAACAATTTTGGATATTTTTCAAATGCATCTACATGCATCAGTTGCCATCTCATAAAAAAATGATTGCAGTGATTTTCACAACTTAAAATTCAACATAAGAATAAGTAAAGTATGTGTTTGTGCTTGACTTAAAATGATAAGTTTAGTTTAATTTAGATCTCACTACGAAGCTGTTGTTTGCAAATCTTTTGACTTCATAACCATTTGATAGTTCAACATGACACTTGAAACTCTGTCAATTGAAGAATGCTGTAAGTTACTTGAAAGGAACGAAACGAAAGTGGACAGAGTTACAGAACAGGTCGTGCAGAAGCGCTAAATAAAGCCTCGTCAGATGTTGCGTGAGATAAAGGACGTTTTCTCATTTCACTGCACTTCCTAGTTTCTGTGTTCCTCTCGGGTCTGAATCATTTCTGGAACTGCTGTGCAAGTGTGCATGCGTACTAAATCTCATGTAGTGCTTTTCAGAAGTAGCACAGATAGCAGAAACAAATGACGACACTGTGGAGGAATGAAAACAACGTCTCATGTAATCTGTCCTGCGTTGTGTTTATGACTGAGCAAATTGCTGGTGTCTTTGTGCATTTGAAGTTTGCATGATTGATTGGTCAAATTGATTGTTCAGGGAGATTGAGCACGAGGTGCCGGTCCGTAGTTCAGTCCCACTGAGCAGCGGATCGGAGATGAACAGCTCTGCAGGACGGCCCAAGAAACGGCGCGCTGGACGCCCACGAACCGCCGACAGACGGGATCACGACACGGACTACGCCTCCTCTGGAGATGAGCTGGACGACGATGACTTCTCCAGGTGAGCTCACCGCTGAAATCCAGCTCGGAGTTCATAATGTTCACTGGCGTTCCAGATGAGATGGAAGTGCTTCTGTTTTCCAGTGAATTCCCTCCCATTATTAATAATGAAGAGAGAGATGATTACAAACGCCTGTTTGACAAAGACCATCAGGAGTACAAGGAGCTCCAGGCAGAAATGGACCAGATCAACAAGCGTCTGGCTGAAGTGGACCGGGAGCTGGATGACCTGCAGGAGGGCAGTCCTCAGTTCCTGGTATGAAAACTCGTCAAGATTCGGCGATGACTCTCATTAATTCTCATTACTGAGAATTCATAAGTACTGGAATATTCTCATTATATCTCATTATTATAAAATAATTGTAATTTTTATTATTAATATATATATATATTTTTTTTTTTTTAATTCACAGAGTACAAGAAATAATGATTAATATTTCATTTAAATTAAAATTCCCATTACTGAGAACAAGTACTGAAATACATTTTTATATTATTATTATTTAATGATTTGTTTATTATTAATATTTAATATAACTTATGTAATATTTATTATTATTATTAATAAATTAGCAGTTAAAGACAGTAAAAAAATATTATTTAATTATTTATTCATTATTAATATTTGATATAACATTTAATATTTATTTTTATTAATAAATTAGCAGTTAAAGACAGTACAATAAATATTATATATATATATATATTAGTGCTGTCAAATGATTAATTGCATCCAAAATAATAGTTTTTGTTTGCATAATATAGGTGTGTGTTCTGTGTATATTTATGATGTGTATATATAGACACACATACAGTATATAATTTGAAAATTTTGAAATGTATTTACATGTCTATATGTATATTCATATAATTTATATTATAAATATATTTAATATATAAACATAACATTTTCTGAAATATATACATGCATGCATGTGTATTTATATATACATAATAAATGTACACAGCACACATACATATATTATGTAAACAATTAATCATTTGACAGCACTAATATATATGTGTGTGTGTGTGTGTATATATATATATATATATATATATATATATATTATATATATTTTTTAAATGTATATGTGTCCCTTTACATTTTAAATACAAGTCTTTTAGATTGAATTATAATTATCATTCATTCTTATTATTATTGCTAATACATACATTTAATAATGATAACTTGTATAGCTTATTTAATATTACGTATTTAAATTATTAATATGATTTGTTTTTTCTATCATTATGCTAATGTTAATGATAATAAAATATAAATGTCAATTCAAATAAATACAATTTAAGTTTTTTTCCCCCAAAATTGTTTTCTTTTTTAGTTGAAATATGACTTGAGTTTTGTAAGGTTTACCCAATGGTGCATGACTTGTTTGCCTTACAGTGGAACGTTCCTGTTGGCTACGCTGTATTATCTGTAAATTATTAACGTTAGCATGGGAAAACGTTTGAGTCACTGCGCTTGTTGCTGACTTCAGTCATTCTCTCGTAACAGGACGCCATTGACGAGTACAACGCGCTGAAAGACAAAAAGAGGGTAAGAATGAGCTGAATCCAAGATTTCTCACAGAAGCGGACAACAGTGGAGGATGTTATCTGATGCATTTCCCACTGTCTCTGCAGAGCGGCGAATACCAGGTGAAGAAGAAGCGCTGCAAGCACCTGAAGGCCAAACTAAGCCACATCAAAAGAATGGTCAGCGATTACGACCGGAGGTCCTGAAGATCCTTTCCATCACATTAGAGGAGAGCGAGCTACTGGACAGTATCGTGAGAGTCCAGATGTGTGGGTCATTGCCATTCGTGAGCTAGGCTGTGTTGCTTTCTGGACATTTGATTGATAATGCATGTAAATATTCAAGGCATTCTGATTCGTATTGCACAGTGCAATATTTTCCCAGAATCCTTCATGAACCCGTTTTAAAATCAGGTTTAACTAATGTCAAAATCCTAATTTCTGTAGTTTTTTTTGTTGCAAATCTCCATTTAGCTGTTACAGATTTAACATGAACTTGTTGGTGTTTCAGTACAGCGTGTTTGTTTTATAAAGTTTTTATATATATATATATTGAAAATTACAGGCCTCTCTCATCTTTTTAAGTGGGAGAACTTGCACAATTGGTCGCTGACTAAATACTTTTTTGCCCCACTGTATGTGGGGGCGTGTTAGAACGAGCGTTTTAGGGGGGCGTGGCAGAGTCTTAACTTTGATAAAGAATATCTCTTTGGTTTGAGACTTTAGTCTTTGCAACTTCAGAGATCTTATCTATGCACAATCAGCTTGTAACACTCCAAAGAGAAAGGAAAACTTGAAATCGCATCATATGACCTTTAATGTGCCTCAATTCAACGGTTCCTGATCATCTCCTCCTCTTTATTATTCTTTCCAACGCGAAATAAAAATGAATGAACATCACAAACTATGCTGAGAGAACAAGAGAAACTTACAGAAAGGTATAGAATCGTAATGTAATCGCTCAATCGGTGTTTCAACCGTGAGAAGACGTCAATAAAACAGCGTGTGTAAACAATAAGTCATGTAACATTACATTTAACTTAACGTTGCCTCAGCAAATTTAAAGGGATATTTTACCTAAAAATGAAAATTCTTTATTATTGTAGTTTTTTTTTTAAATTACAGCCACGTTTATATTACAACAACAAATTGGAATCAAAACATATCATTAAAATGCAGATATAAAACTGCCTTGATTATTAAATAAAATTTGTTTTGGTTTAGTTTTTTTCTTGACCAAACGAACACTTCATTTTCGTTTTTTGTGTTTCAGTAAAAACTAATTTCGGTGCATCGCTGGTTTCATTGAGTTGACATTTAGCATTGATATTTTAAAACTTATTTAGACACTTCTTTTGTTGCAGCCATTTCAAAATGTTCATGTTCTGTATGATCATATCAGAGCTGGTTTCCTCCAGTGTTATGGCCCTTGTAAAGTGCCGTACCCAAGGTGAAACTAGGTGCAGGCTTGAGTTCCACACCCTGTTAAACACACTTTCAAGTGTCTCTAGAGTTCGTCAGGACTCAATCAGACCGTTTCTGTCCAGCCAGGCTTTCAGTAGTGGGACGTTCCTGTCCATCCAGCGGATGTTCTGCTGGATTTTCTGCAGGGCCTGTTGAACACTGCGGAGCCCAGAGCCCTGATCCTGCGCTAGTGACCCGAAGAAAGACTGAACCTACAGGAACAACACAAACAACCAACCACAGTGTTCTTAGATTTCTACTGACACCAATCAGTGCAAGTGCAATGCTTTCGTTTACATATCCATTAACCAGAAATGATCGGTCACCCATGATTCATGTAAAGTCATGTGACCTCAGCATGTTGGCAGCTTAAACAACTGTAATGTAGAAGTGTGAAGGTGTGTGTATGTAATATTTCTCTATACTATAAATATAAATATTTCTCAAATTCATCAAGTACTGGGGAAAAAATTACAAATATTGTTAACATTAGTAAATGCATTGAACTAACATGAACAAAGAATGAGCAATACATTTTTAAAGCATTTTCGTCAATGTTAGTAAAAATATAATTGTTAATTGTTGGAGTCTTGTTGAAAAAGTTCATTGCAACAGTGTTTATATCTTGCAACTTTGCGTTTAGATCTCGCAAGTTTTTGAAAAAGTGTGAGATGTAATCTCAGAGTTGCGGAAAAAAAACTAAGAAAAATAGAATTGTGAGATAAAAACTAAGAATAGCAAGAAAAAGTCTGAATTGTAAGAAAAAAAAAAGTCACATTTACATAATTATCCTGTGGCAAAAAAAAGCTTGTTAGTTTAAAATGCATTAACTAATGCTACCTAATAACACTAACATTGACTAATATTAATAAATGCTGTAGAAGTATAGTTCGATATTCATGTTAACTAATGTTTGCATTCATACTTTTTAAAAAAGACTCCTAAAGTACCTCATCGAGCATTTCTCTGGTGGAATACTGATCGGTCACACCGACCGCCATGCGAGATATCGCAGACGAACCGAGATCAAACCTAAAAGGAGGATTTGGATTTAATACACCACTATTCACAATCTAACATGCTACAATGTGTCATAAGCGCCATAAAACAAGAATGTGATTTTTTTTTTACATTATTATAACAAGGTCTTCCAGTAGATATGAAAGCTTGCTACACACTTTTTCACAAGTTTCCCCCAGTTGGTTTTCAAGAAGTCCCAGGCGAGTTGATGACCTTCTCTCCTTCAATGCTTCTTTCCAAAAGCCTAGACAGAACGAGAAAGCAAAACACATCCTAGAGCAGGTTTAAATGACTCAAGATCGTTATTACTGACACGCAGGATTGAAAAGGTGAGAAATGAATCATGCTTTTGCATATTAATGACGACTTTCAAGAGAAGATCTTTTCGGATAAATACGCCCGACAGTTTGACCTTCCTTAATGATTCATGCGTCATCATCGATGTCAGGTTTGTGTGAACTATGAAAATGTCACGTGACGTCTTCAGCTGCTTCATGAATGCAGACTCACCACTGAAGCTTGTGAGCTAATGGACTGTACGAGAGTGCGGCTTTAATCATCCACTTCTCCGATGGCGAGACGGATCGCTTGTATTTCTCCAACAGGAAGTCCCAGCCTTCGTCTGTACGCGCCCCTTCAGTGTAGACCACCAAACTGACGTCAGTGGGCAGCCTGAAGCAAACAACACATGTTTGGATGAATGCAAATAGAATGCAGTATGTAAAATGATACATGAATCAAATGAACTCTCACCACATTTTGCCATCGGATTCCTTCCACTGCTGGAAGAGTCGAGTGGCGGTGCTGATGCAGGATGGGTAACGGCGGACGCAGGCGAACAACAGCAGATAGTTCCTGAGCATCCGCTCGGACACAGACCCACCATCAGACCAGCTCTGGCGGTCAATCAGCGTCTTGAATAACTTCACTAAATGACCCTGTTAAAGCAGCAAATCAACAACAGCATGTCTAAATATATTTTATTTTTCCCAAAATGCATAAAATGTTTCACCAAATTCTTGTTTAATTAAATTTTAATAATAAATAAGAATGTCTAATCAAATTACTTGAATTTCCTCTGTTTTAAATTTTTTCTGGATTCTGTTTATGTATATTTTTAATGAATTATTTTTTACTGATCAAAAAGGATGTTTAATAAGCCGAATTCATAGAGATGGTGGTAATCAAATGAATTAATATAACTTTAACAATTTAATTAATCTCTAATCCTTTCATTTTTTTGGCAAACAAAGTGCAGCACAAAACATGGATAACTGCTTTAATAAACTGTATTATTATAATTATTATGATAAGTACATTCTACTGTACAATAGTAATATATTTGTAAAATGGCTTGAAATTAAATCAAACTTTTATTTGTCAGGTTGTAGTAAAGACCTTTGAGTTTCTGTGTGTCTTTGACCAAATTTTTTTTAAAGGGGTCATATGATGCGATTTCAATTGTTTCTTTCTCTTTGAAGTGTTACAAGCTCTTGGTGCATAAAGAAGATCTGTAAAGTTGCAAAGACTAAAGTCTCAAATCCAAAGAGATATTCTTTATAAAAGTTCAGAGTAAGCCACGCCTACCTAAAACGGCTCGTTCTAACACGCCCCCACATGTCTACATCACTATGTGGGAAGATTTGCATAACGCCGCCCAAATGTTCACGCAAAGAAAGAAGGCGTAACTTTTAGTCTCACTGTAGTATTGTTGCTGCCGCCGGCGCCATGTCGTGAAGACGCTGTGTGTTTCGTTGTGAAAGCGAAACTACTTTGTTTGGTCTTCCAAAAGAGGATGATATCCGCTTCGTCATGCCTAGAGCTGATCCGTGCTGGTCGCTGAGGGAATACATAAACTTTCACCGCAGGATCGCCGGATCGGCTTTCACCGTGGACTAAGTGGAGTCCAGCCCGGGGTCGTCAGATGTGGTTGCCGCATGCCCGCCGGCCGCTCCTTCGTCGAAAAGACAGTATAAGTCATTATAATCAGTAATTATGTCCCCACTGGACGCAACAAATGCCTCGTTTATAATGGGTTTTAATGCTTTTGTCTCGTCGCTCTGGCCGGGACACGACATCAACAGTATGTGAGGGGCGTAACATTTTCGTCACACGCTTGAGATATTCGGCCAATCACAACGCATTGGATGGCTGGCCAATCACAGCACACTTCGCTTTTTCAGACCGATGAGCTTTGTAAAAATCTACGCATTTCAAAAAGGCGGGGCATAGAGGAGAAACAATAATGTACAGTATGTGGAAAATAATGTGGTTTTTTTTTTACTTTAAACCGCATAAACACATTTCATTACACCAAATACACAAAATAATGTTCTTTTTAGCAGCATCATATGACCCCTTTAATGATTATTTGAACAGCCCTTCATTTGATCCAGATTTGGCCAAATTCTGAGACATTCTACATTATAAAGCAACTTCCATTTTTTGACTGGATTCTGTGATTCAGTCTCTGTTTTTTGCACTGCAGAAATCTCAGGTCCTTATAAATATAATGAATATTCAGATGTTGCTGTCTTACCCTGGCCAGCTACTTTAGAAAAGGTCACCATGAGATCTTAAATGTATTATCTAAACTGAGACACTAGAAAGTAACTCAGCATCCAAACTATTGCACATATCATCTTTAAACTAGACTTATTCATGTTTGCAAGCACAACCTTCAGCTGGTTCTCCAGTGCCTCCATGTTTCTCTTCTCCATGAGTTTGTAAAGCGGCACCAGCTCATTAAAGCCCTGCGTCACCGGCATGATCTCCGACTCTTTACTGAGGTACAAACTCAGATTCAGAGCTTTGTCCAGTGGGATTTTCTCAATGCTGAAGGAAAGACAAATAAATCTGATTAAGAACAAAAATAAACTGTAACAAGACTTAAATCAAGTCAAATCAAATCAAATCAAGTATTGTTTGTGCTCAAATGCTGCTGGATCTTTTGCTTTTCTCCATATTTGAAGTCTTACTAGCTTTGAATCAACAGACGTTTTGGTGATTTTTAGTAAATGTATGATGTCATGAACTTCTTTTCGCCAAATGATTTGCTTGAAAAGTGTGTTTCTGCATCTCATGACACTTGATTTAGTTGAGTTTTTGTAAATGAGTTTGTTTCTTCATCAGATTTGGAGAAATGTAGCATTCCATCACTTGCTCACCAATGGATGCTCTGCAGTGAATGGGTGCCGTCAGAATGAGAGTCCAAACATCTGATAAAAACATCACAATAATCCACAAGTAATCCACACCACTCCAGTCCAGCAGTTAACATCTTGAGAAGTGAAAAGCTGCATGTTTGTAAGAAACAAATCCATTAAGACATTTTGACTGTAAACTGCTGCTTTTGGCTAAAATATGAGTTCATAATCCATAATAAAGCTTCCTCCAGTGAAAAAGTCTTATGGTCTGAATCAGGAGAGAAATATGTACAAAACAAGCACTGTTTACAAGCCAAAACAGATTTTGATGTGAGAGTACAGCAGCAGATGGATTTTTCCACTGGAGGATGCGTTATTATGGATTACAGACTGGTATTTTGGCCAGAAGTGAGAGTTAAATGTTAAAACTTCTTAATGATGGATTTGTTTCTTACAAACACACCGCTTTTAACTTCATGATATGTTAACTGATGGACTGGAGTGGTGTGGATTACTTGTGGATCATTGTGATGTTTTTATCAGCTGTTTGGACTCTCATTCTGACGGCACCCATTCACTGCAGAGCATCCACTGGTGAGCAAGTGATGCTAAATTTCTCCAAATCTGTTCCCATGAAGAAACAAACTCATCTACATCTTGGATGGCCTGAGGATGAGCACATTTTCAGCTAATTTTCATTTTTGGTGAACTATTTCTTTAAGGAACACCAGCTCAGTTCCTCACCTGACCAGCTGAAAGATGTCGTGGATCAGACTGGCTCTGTCGTTGCTGCTGAACACACTGTGGTTTTGCTGGAGTTGGTTGATCAAAGCGTCCCAGCCTCCTGACTTATAATGTACAATATAATACCCCCGCAGGTCCACATTAAATTTAATCCAGTCCACCTTCTCTGGCAGGTACAACACATCTGCAGACACATGGTCAGATTTCAGTATAACAGAAGGTAAATGTGTTGGTTTGGTTTAATATCTAATAGCTCAGACACACCTTTTTCACTTTTCAGCAAGAAACGCTGCACTGCACTACTGTGACTGGTGATGTAAGTCAGAGGAACCTGCCACAAGAAGCTTGATGTACTGTGAGAAATTAAATACAAAATATTAAAAAAATGTATTATTGCTTTGAGTGAATAACATTAAGGCTATATTGAGAGTAGCATACTAGCTTACTATATTATTTACTATTTCTGCAGCATGCAGGCACATTTTCTGTTTTCATAAAAACTACTGTTGTTATTGTTAACAAAATATAAAACTATTAAAACTATTTTTTTTTTGGTGACTGAAATAAAGCTGAAATTAAAATATCAATATTAGACGAATTACTTAAACCTAAAGAAGTAAAAAATAAAATAATAAAAATAAACCTATAAAATATATATATATATAAAAAAAAAACTTACTCTAAAACTAAGAGGCTTATCAAATAAACTAAAAAGGAAAAATAAAATATAAAAAGATACTGTAATTCAAAATATTACTAAACAATACTAAAGTATACAAATAATACTAAAATATCTTTGTATGCCACAATGCAATGCACTGAACTGAAAAAACAGAAGTAATATCATCTATGATTTTCTTTCATTACCTTATTTGATCAGAATGCCATAACATACCATTTTAAAAGCATAATACAGTACGACACATTTACTTTTGCACTGTTTCACATACTATTTTTAAAATATATAGTATGCATAGTACGTATTAAACAGTAGTTTAGTATTCCATAGCCAGTACGTACTTTGAAGAGTTTGCTTCTCTAAGGAAGCGCTCCTGTTTGAGGGTGACCTCTTGACCTTTGACCTCCACAGTGATTAAAGGAAAGCCCTCCTGCAGCGTCCAGGTGTCCATAATGGCTTGAACATCAACACTGTCCTCCATGAACCATTTCTGCTAGAACAGGTTTTTATCATTTAATCAGTTATTTGGTTTATTTCTAATATTAATGACACATTTTTAGTCAAGAAATATAAGAGCTTAACTTATCGTAAATATAGACCATTTAATTAAATAATAAAAACCAATAAAATATTATAATAGATGAACATAAAATAAAAATATTATAATTAAATGTCAATTGATTTATAGCAGCACTCACAGAGGCTGGAGATTCAGCCCTGCTTTTGGAACAGAATCCATCGAGTTTTAGTCTCCCTGAATCCAATTCATCAGAAGTGCAGATCTGAAAAGATTGAAATGCATTTGGCCTCTAGAGCAATCGATTAAATTACTTCAAGGACTGGAGAACATGCACAGGAGCCGACTGTGGTAACTTACATTGGTAAGACTTTCCCAGAGGTGAGCGTTCACTGTGTTCTGGTAGCTGTGTGTCTTCAGGTAGTGTATAATACCGTACTTGAAAGCCTCTGGCGTCAGGAAATCCCTCAGCATGTTCAGGATACACGCACCCTTCAGAGTTTGTGAAGAACAACGGTAGATATGTTAAAACAAATGAACCCTTCTTTTGTGTTGAAAATATGGGTACTCCATTTGTGTTGGAGATAACTGACTGCCATTGGTTTCCAAAAATCGACACTTTATAAACTAAAAAATTTTTAAAAAATTTGAAATGAAAGACAAGTCTTCTGAATCATCCAAGGAGAATTTGCTGTACATTTATATATTTGAGTTTCAGTCAAAAACTGGTTGTTAGTTTTTTGGATCTCAGTTAGTAGTCTACTGCAGCATTGAAAATAAGTGTTAGAAACTTTTACCCTCATAAGGGTTTGAGAACCCAACATAAAAAAGGCAGTCAATAAAGGTTTTCTAGATTCAAATTGGGTTAAACCTGAACCCTAACACCACTGAAGTCACCAAAATGCATACAGACTTTCCAAAACACATCTATGTGTGTAAACTTTGCGTGCACATTAATGACCCAAAATGGGCAAAGGTCACCAAATTTCAAGAAGAAATAAATAGCTTAACCAGTGTCTCAAGCCATTTAAATATCTAATGTGGGTCAAACTGTCTTGTGACACAATATTAATCAGGGAAAGTCAACTATAAGGATTCTAGAGAGATATAAACTGCTTGTGTACCTTCCGGTAGGAAACGTCATCGAACATCTCGCTGATCTCCGCAGGATTCTCCACTGGAGTGGAAACGGGGTGTGAGGAGGTTAAAGAGTCCACTGACATAGCAGTGAAGCACTTCTCCAGGAAATAATCATCCTAAAATAGAGGCCCTCGAAATCAGATCAGTCATGCCAATTATGATTTTCATGGCATCACAATCTCAACTCTTAGCTGTATTAATCGCTCTCACCACTTGCAGCTCAGGGTGGGTGATGCTGACGGACACATACTCCATGAACTTGGCAAAGCCCTCGTTTAACCACAGGTCGTTCCACCACTGCATCGTGACCAGGTTTCCAAACCACTGGACATCAGATTCAACAGACTTTATACATCTCTGTGCTGGTTTCATGTCACCTCTCTTTCTATAATAATACCATTTTGCATCACTGCATACAATATACAAAAATTTGGGGTCAGTAAAAATAAAAAAAAATCTCTTTAAAAAAAAAAGAAGAAATTAATACCTTTATTCATCAAGGATGTGTTAAATTGATAAAAAGCATAAAGACTCATACTGTTAGAAAAGGCTTCTATTTTGAATAAATGCTATTCTTTTTAACTTTTTATTCATCAAAGAATTCTGAAAAACTGTCACAGCTTCCAAAGAAATATTAAGCAGCACTGTTTCCAATACTGATAATAAATCAACATATTAGAATGATTTCTGAAGATCATGTGACACTGAAGACTGGCGTAATGATGCTGAAAATTCTGCTTTACATCACAGAAATAAATCATATTTTAAAGTATATTAGTACAGAACACCATTATTTAAAGTTGTAATAATATTTCTCAATATTACTGTTTTTTAGTATTTTTGATCAAGTAGCTTTGATGAGCATAAGAAACTTCTTTAAAAAAAACTGATCACAAACTTTTGAATGGCAGTGTTTATAAAATGTATATAAAATCATATATATTTTATATACATTTTATACACATTATATTAATTTGTTTAAGTAGTAAGCCAGTAAGCAGAATAATTTATTTGGTGATAAAGGCCGACTGGCTGTTTGTTCATTATTCATTACTTAGATTGAATTAGTAATAGAAATATCAACCTGATGGGCTAGTTCATGGGCAATGACTTTGGTGATTCCCAGTTTGTCCGAGGAAGAAGATTTCTCAGGGTCAAAGAGCAAACCGGACTCTCTGTAAGTCGACAGGCCCCAATTCTCCATAGCACCTGACTGGAAATCTGGGATTGCTGCAAGATCTGCAAGTAAAAGATCATTATAGCCGGAATTAGGTTCTAAAAAGCCAAGAAATATTCTGATTACAGTTGCCAATTATTTCATGGCAGATAATAATATATGTTCAACAGTAGTAAAGATGGTGACTGCTGAACTTTCACACTCACCGTGTTTGGGAAGTGGATATGGGATGTCAAAATAATCATCATAAAAGTCCAGCAGTGTGACGGCGGTGTTGAGAGCATATTCCGCCTGACTGATCTTCTCGGGAACAGTATACACTGATATCTATATCGGGATTCAGGTTGTGAGGAGTCAACGGACAGTGTAATGAGGTATGGGTACATTATAAAGTGTATTTATAATACTTTTGGGGCAACGGGATCGACTTGCCTCGACTCCATGCTGGCTTTTTTTACTGATGGACTGTAAATCGGAGATGATGAAGGCCACCAGGTAGGTGCTCATCTTCACCGTCGTGTCAAACTGATCCTCGAGCAGCCCGTCAGCCATTTCTACAGTTCTCAGCTATTGGAAGAAATAACCTTGCATTAGTTTACATTTACATGATACGGTCTGTAAAATAAATATGTGACCCTGGAGCACAAAAGCAGTGTTAAGTCGCTGGGGTATATTTGTAGCAATAGCCAACAATACATTGTATGAGTCAAAATTATAGATTTTTCTTTTATGCCAAAAATCATTAGGATATTAAGTAAAGATCATGTTCAATGAAGATATTTAGTAAATTTCCTACCGTAAATATATCAAAACTTAATTGTTGATTAGTAATATGCATTGCTAAGAACTTCATTTGGACAACTTTAAAGGCACTTTTCTCTGTATTTAGATTTTTTTGCACCCTCAGATTCCAGATTTTCAAATAGTTGTATCTTGGCCAAATATAGTCCTATCCTAACAAACCATACATACTGAGAAAATACTGTTTGAAGTTGTTGAATCACATTGCAGATTGTATAATTTATAAACACTGACCGTTATGCTGTTATTACGATCAACTGGGTTACCTATGCTTTTTTAATTTATATTTTTTGTGACTTCTCATTTATCATAATAAACATGCATTCAAAGTTTTGACACTTTGATGTGTGGTGGAAAAAGTGTACAAAACTTCTATAATGAATTAGATGTTTCTGAGTCAATTTGACCTCGTTATTACATAGTTAAAGGCAGCTGCACAGAATAATTTTTTTAAAGGGGTCATATGATGCTTTTTTAAAGATCATTATTTTGTGTATTTGGTGTAACAGAATATGCTGACATGCTTTAATGTTCAAAAAACACATTCTTTTTCAAATACTGTACATTATTGTAGGTCCTCTATGCCCCGCCTCTCTCAAACGCTTAGTTTTCTACAAAGCCCCTCCTTCCGACAAGCGCAGTCTGCTCTGATTGGCCAGCTGACCCAGGGCATTGTGATTGGCCGAACACCACAAGCACTCGTCGGAAATGTAACGCCCCTTACCATAATCGCGAGCTTCAGCTTTCAAAATAAATGTAAAGACAGTAAATAATGTCATTAGTTTTATAATTTTTTTTTACAGTATGCCAGAAGGGTGTTCACATTTATTTATTCGGCAGATGCAATTATCTGAAGAAATTTACACTGCAATGATTTAATTTTGCTGGAAATCGAACCCATGATCTTGACGTTACGATCATCAGGCTTCTACCGTTTGAGTTTCAGAAAAGAACACAGAATAAGTGCTTTTCCACTGCCGAAAGTGTTTTTTTATTTTATTTATATATTTACAATACTATTTGTAAAATTGACATTTGGTGAAAAATAATGTTATTAAATACAGTTTTAAAAATCATATATTCTCATGTTTATTTATGTGTAATGTGTGAGAGCCATTAATGTTAAAGATTTCCTTTCTTTTCTTCCTCATAGTGTGGTTTTTGTTGAATTACACTGATGAAGAATGCCGGTCAATTTCACCTGCACTATAAAAATCAAACCCAGATATTTAACAGAATAAAATGGTTAATTATGTGTACCTTGGGCATGTTGGATATGGAAATATGCCTGGATTCTCGGCGCACACGGATGGTAAAGTTGGCTTTAAATGCAGGTTCATCAAAACAAGGGAAGGCAGCTCGAGCATGCGTCGGCTCAAACTGAGTGGATGCCATCATCCTGCAGGGAGAAAAATCATCCTTTTGAGGTTTTCCATCTTCAAATACAGTCCGAGTGCAACCTTTGAACAACTAACCTAGAGTTAAAACTCAAGCACCAATGTTGTGGGTGTCTTACCTGACCTCTCCGCTGTTTGTGGTATATCTGCCTTTATAAAAGCCGTGAAAACTGTCTGATAAGTTGGCGTAGAACTCCAAATGCACCACGTGGTTTCCTCTCTCAAATGTGAAGCCATCAGAAAAGAGTGCGATCTGTTCATAGGCTTCAGACTCACTGATTTGCAGATGCTGAGGATGTCTGGGGCCCAAGAGCTGAGCTTTGGAGATCTGCAGGTTCTTGCTGTGAAGGATGATGGCTCTGGTGTCCTGCTCTAGCTCTATGAGAATCTGGACCACTCCGGTGAAGGTCAGGGAGGTCAAGTTGGGGTGCACCAGGAGGTCATAGTGCTGGGGTTTCACTGTTTCTGGCAATCTTATCTTATCCCAGGGAAAAGGCAAGGCATTTGTGTCGGTGTTGACAGTCATTGCATGGCTGCCAACAAAAAGACCACAGAATAAAACTGCAAATGTAGTGCAGCATAAACACCAAGACATGATGAAAAACAGAAGCTGAAGAGGAAAAGGTTTAGTATCAGCTCTATGTGCGTTTGTCAATTGGTTATCATTGTATGAGCACCGTTTATGATACTTAGACGCCACAAGAAGAAAAAAAAAACACCACAAATGTTACAATATATCGAACGTTTCATTGATTTTAGGCGACAAACGTTTTGAACGAACCTGCGTACCGGTAAATGAAAGTGAAAGTACGCAGCTGTCACTCAAAATATCTCATTCCTGTCGTGTAAAGCGACTCGGTTTTCCTCTCAGATTGTATTATTGCATCCTGGTGCTTACAGCACACCACACGACGTTTTATACAACTGAAAAACACTATATTTGTTTATAAAAGGCATGCGTTTGCGATGAAATTGTGAACGCAGTGATGAAAACTCGTCTCTCGTGAATATTAATTACGTAAAGTGACGTTTGGCGTTTTTACGTCCAACGGCTCTGTAGCTGGCCAATCACAGCGCGAGGCTGACTGTTGAATATTAATTAGGTTAAGCTCACAGAGCAACGTCATCAATGACCTTGTTTATTATTAATGAGATCAGCCTTCGCCTCAGTTCTGTTTGTAAATACTTACAGCTAAAGTTGGGAAGAAATAGCGAAAAAACACCCGATGAAACGAAAATAAATAGACATTTCAAGATTGAGCTGGGAGTATACTTTGAACTCTTTTATTTCCGTTTTCCCTCAAAAATAAATGACAAATAAATGTTCATGCATCACGATTGGAGATTGAGTGGCCAAGTCACTGAACAAAATGTGGTAGATTTTGTGAACCAAAAAAAAGCAGACGAAAATAAAATAAAAAATATATTACATGGCATATGTTTTCAACTTTACTCAGTCACTTAATTCAGCTGGAAGACAATTAAACGCGCAACTGTTCAAAACAGGCTATTAGAAAATATATAAATGGTCCCTGAGAAAAAGACAAAAATATTTTTGCCAATTGCATTTAAACGGGTCAATATCTTACTGTTTGCAAACCTTCCTGAATTGTTTAAGACTTTAGATTAAAATGTATTCATTCTCACAATTCGCAAATTTTTCTGGATTGGTTTGACTTTAAACTTAATTGCAAGGAAGAATTCAGGCAGTATTTCCAAAATAATTGAACTTTGACTATATTTGAGTCTAGACTAAACACTAGACTATCCTCATACCAACACTTGAGAATATCTATGGCGGTGGATGGTTTCTAACAGTAAGGAAATGCTTCAGTACACACTAAAACTGAATTCCAATAAAGTTCAATCTGAAAAAAAAAAAGGTTCCATGCTTGTTTTCAACCTTTAAAACCTGACTAGACATACGCCTGTCATTTAAAACAGTTTCACATGTAAAAAAAATTACAGTTTCATTATACAGGGCTAGGAACAGGTTTGCGGATCTGCATCTCTGTTTATGAGATTGTCAGTTGTGTGGAAGGATCATACCTTCATAGCTGCCAGAATTTAATAACCAAATAAAATTTAATAACACTAAATAAATAAAGCACAAAGTTTCCTTTCCATATTTAAGCACATTACATGGTTTCATATGAATGCATATACATTCTAAAATGAGCCAGCAACACATTTTTATTAATAAAAACATTTACAAACGCCCATGAATGCAATTCTGTATTATCTATGTGCATGAAATTTTTTTAGAAGTTTTTTAAAAGCTAAAAAACAAAGGCTACATTTTTTGTTTTGAATTATTTTGCAGGTTTTTTTTGTTTATTCTCGTCGGTCCAAAAATGCTATTGCATCACCATCCGATGAGCTTTTGCGTCTCTACGCCTTCTCATCCTTTCCTGCATTTGTGAGGGCTGTTGTCTAAACGGTAAAAACACAGTATATTGATACAAATATGACTAAAAAAAAGAATGCATATAAAACAAAACTATTAAAATACTATTTCTAGAATGCATATAAAACAAACATTTAAGGATGTCACCTGTTCAACCATCCTCTGCATCTTCTCAATGACCGAGATCATCTGAACGCTGTTTTCTCTCAAACTCTTCTCGTATGTTTTATTGAGCGTCTCGGCTTTCTCCAGTTTCCTCTTCAGCTCTTTCTGATGGGCCTGCTCCTGTTCATTAGACGCCTGCCTCGCTTCTGCTGCCTCTGAATCACACACACCACACAAATGACCATGGAATATTATGGCAGAAATAAAGCATTACGCCACAAGAGGTTTAAAGGAATAGTTCATCCAAATATGAAAATTTGATGAAAATGTGCCCCCCTTCAGTCCATACAGGATGTAGATGAGTTTGTTTCTTCATCAGATTTGGAGAAATGTAGCATTGCATCACTTGCTCACCAATGGATGCTCCGCAGTGAATGGGTGCCGTCAGAGAGTCATGAGGTGGCATGAGAGTCCAAACAGCTGATAAAAACATCACAATAATCCACAAGTAATCCACACCACTCCAGTCCATCAGTTAACATCTTGAGAAGTCAAAAGCTGTCATTAAGACATTTTAACTTTAAACCGTTGCTTCTGGCCTCTATCCATAAAATTGTTTTCTCCAGTAAAAAAGTGGTCTGGTCTGAATCAGGAGAGAAATCTGCACAGATCAAGCACTGTTTACAAGCAAAAACAGCTCTAAACAAGTATGCGAGTTGATTTTGATGTGAGAGACAACAGGAGATGGACGTTTTCACTGGACTAAGCGTTATTATGGATTATGGACTTGTATTTTGGCCACAAGTGATGGTTTAAAGTTTAAAAACGTCTTGATAATGGATTTGTTTCTTACAAACGCACAGCTTTTGGCTTCTCAAGATGTTAACTGATGGACTGGAGTGGTGTGGATTATTGTGATGTTTTTATCAGCTGTTTGGACTCTCATTCTGATGGCACCCATTCACTGCAGAGCATCCATTGCTGAGACACTGATGCAGTGCTACATTTCTCCAAATCTGATGAAGAAACAAACTCATCTACATCTTGGATGGCCTGAGGGTGAGGACATTTTCAGCAAATTTGGGTGAACTATTCCTTCAAAGCATTTCGGTCTCACCGAGTCTGGACTGCAGAGCGGCGACACACTTCTCCAGTTCACGTTGGGCCGCTTTGCTGCTCTCCAGCGTCTGCAGTAGGTTTGGTAAGTTAATGACGTTCCCTCTGTAGTTCACCAGATCTGTGTTACCGGTGCGACGAGCGGACGCTCTCTCTTTGCATGCCTGGCCGGGCAACATGGCTTTATTTCCTGAGAGGAACACAGTGGCATTTTCATAATGCTATAGACAAATGTGACCCTGGAGCACAAAAGCAGTGTTAAGTCGCTGGGGTGTATTTGGAGCAATAGCCAAAAATACATTGTATGGGTCAAAATTATAGATTTTTCTTATATGCCAAAAATCATTAGGATATTAAGTAAAGATCATGTTCCATGAAGATATTTAGTAAATTTTCTACCGTAAATATATCAAAACTTAATGTTCGATTAGTAATATGCATTGCTAAGAGCTTAATTTGGACAACTTTAAAGGCGATTTTCTCAATATTTAGATTTTTTTGCACCCTCAGATTCCAGATTTTCAAATAGTTGTATCTCGACCAAATCCTAACAAACCATACATCAATGGAAAGCTTATTCATTCAGCTTTCAAATGATGTATAAATCTTTAATAAAAAAAAATTGACCCTTATGACTGGTTTTGTGCTCCAGGGTCACAAATGAGTTTACATGCTTTATCAGATGGCATGATTTCCAGCACACACACCCTCAGCACTGATGCTGCCGTCTGTCCGATCGGCGTCTGACCAGCGACTGCACAGATTTCTGTAGAGGCAAAGCCCACCGACTGCAGCCTTTCTGACCAGATCCTGCGCCTGAGGAAAGATGGGACATCAGAAGCACTGAAAATACATTGTTTTTCCTTATAATCAAAGAATGTATGTCACAGTACACTGCAAAACAATTGCTCTTCCTCAGATCTTGTTTTCTAGTACAAATATCTAAACATTCTTAAGTCAAGATACATTTACTTGAGAAGCAATAAGACTTGAGATATTAAGTTTGATATGAAAAATTTATCAAAATGGAGTGGGTTTATGCTTAAAACAAGAAAGAAATGTCAATAAACTTTTCAGAACAATAAACTTGTTCTCCCTTTGGATTAAGTTTATTTTTCTTTAAGCATTAAAAAAAACCAAGACTTAATATCTCATGTCATTTGAATATTTTTTCATTTTGAATCAAAGTTTGTGATTCATCTCTGAGCTGGTTGATCTTATTCATAGGCTTAAACTCTCAACATAATACTCTAATAAGCACAAAATACAAACACTTCACTATAAAATTCTTGCTATATTCAACTATTTTATTGATACTTATCAAAAAAGGACGAAAAATATATCTATATATTTTTTTTGTAAATATAACTATAAAATTGTAATATTATGATAATGACTATGATTATTATCATCAATTATTATTATTATACTTATTACTTATTATACTTATACTTATTATTCAAAATATTTTATTTAATATTTTTGATTTCTAAAAATTAAGCAAATCAATTAAGAAATCTACTGCAATACTACTGTAACAAAACAAGTATTTAATAATAATAATTTTTATTATTCAAAATATTTATCTTATTTGAATTCTATTTAAATCAATAAAGAAATATACTGCTATTGCAATATTACTGTACTGTAAAATAAAAACGAGCATTTAATAATAACAGTAATAATAATACAGTAATAAAAATAATAATTTTATTGTTTTATCATTATTCAAAAGATTCCATTTTATTTTATGATTTGAATTCTAGTAAACAAAAAGTAAAAGTAAACAAATCAATAAAGGAGTATACTACTATTTCAATCATCCTATTTGTCTGTAAAATAAAAAAGTATTTAAGAATAATTTATTATTAATAATAATAATAATTTTATTTTACAGAACAACAATAAAATTACAATACTAATATTTATGTCTGCCTTAATTTTTTGATTAAGTGTGTTAAACCATTATTTTGCAGAATTCTATAAAAACATCTTAGAAGAAGTGAAACCTGAGCAGGACTGAGAAACAGGCCGAGAGACAGCAGGATGTTGAGCAGGTCTGCCTCTCGAAGACTTCCTGTCAGCTGACGGTCAAAGAAGACCCAGGAGAGAAGCACTTTACGGGGAAGTTCAGCCGTCCAGCCCAGAGGACGGTCCTTCAAGCACACAGACAGAGATGTTTGGAGAGGCACTAGACATGTGACGCAGAAGAGAAATGTGATTTCTTACGCTGTCTTTGGACGGCTGATTGTCTCCTCCTGCACTTTGACTTTTACTCTCTTTTAGATGCTCAGATTGTTTTCCAGCCGGTTCAGTCTCGTCCGTCAGTGCGCCGTCTTCTGTCTCTCTCTCCCCATCCTTCTCTTTGAGTTTTCTCTTCTTTGCATCGATCAATCCTTTCTTTTTTGCAGTCAGTTTGTCTGTATTTTTGGGCTCATCCTCCTTTACAGAGAAAAAAAAGTGTGAAAAAGTTACATTAACAACTGGATTTTCAGACTTTTTTTTTTTTTTTTTTTTTTATAAAGTAAAACATAAGACGGCCTACATTTACATATCAACATCTATTTATTAGTCATAAATTATTAATACAAGTTAGAAGTCACATACATACATACATATATATATATATATATATAGAAGAACTACCCACCTCACAGCTGTCCCGCGTCTGAGGCGTCTGGGGCTCCAGCAGTGAGGACAGAGACACGACAGACAGATTGAGTCCAGTGGAGGGGTGAAAAACCACAGACGGACCTTCTGGAAGTGACAAATCACCATCCTGGATGACAGGAAAGAAATTTGAATTCAAGCATATTTCCTATGCATAATATTTATAAACTCTGATGTCAGTCAGTACCAGCTGTTTTTGTGGTAATTTTGCCCAGTCTTCTTCTGCTGGCACTAGATTCCACACATCTGGCAACAACACCACAACTGTCTGCATTTTATCTCCGGAAAGATATCTCAGCTCCGCCACCTTGTGCCTTCAGAGAGAGCAAGACATTTAGAGACATGTGCAGATTACGAATGAATATATATAAAAGACGTAAGGGCCTGCTTTCACAGATGGGGCTTAGCTTAAGCCAGGACTAGGCCATAGTTCAATTAGGATTTTAAAGTCATTTTTATAAACATGCCTTAGAAAAAACATTACTGCATCTTGAGACAAAACAAGGGCACTGACATATTTCAAGATCAATCAGTGCAAGTTTCTTTCAGTTGAAACAGCTCAGACTTACAGTAGTTGGGGACTAGGCTTAAGCCTTGTCTGTGAAACCGGGGTAAGGTGACTTAAATTTTGTTTTTAATTAAGTTTTTAAAGAAGTCTCTTCTGCAAATATAGGCTGCATTTATTTGATCATAAATAAAGTAAAAAATGAAAAATATGGTGATTTGCTGCTCAAGAAACATCATTTTTTTATCATTTTTATTTTCAAGATTCTTTAATGAATAGAAAGTTCAAAAGAACAGCATTGATTTTAAATAGAAATGTTTGTAAGACTAGAAATGTCTTTACTGTCACTTTTGATCAATTTAATGCATACTTGCTAAATAAAAATATTAATTTCTTTAAAAAAAAATTATGGATCCCAAACGGATTATGAATGGTAGTGTATTAAAAAGCCATTTCGTATACATATGAAACTTATGTTATGTTTTTCTTATTATTATTAAGTTACTTATAGCCTTTCTGTATATAAACAATAACAATTCAACCCGCTTTGGCAAGACAAAAATCAGACCAATAAATCTTAAATGTATTGAACTGAAATGAAAAATGAAATGTACAGACCACTGCGTGCAGGCTGAGAGGTCCAGAGCAGTTTGTTCCTTTATGCAGCGGACCGCAGTGTTGACCAGCGTCGAACCGTCCTTCGCTGGATTTGCTCCGTCCGCTTTGGGTGACCAGTGACCTCCTGGAAGCCGCAGTTCACCTCCACTGTCCACCATCACAAACTACAACACAGAGAAAGAGCCAGTGACACAATTATACCTCAAACTCTATAAAGCTACTATAAGCCATATAGCCATATACTATGAGCTCTATAAACCATATAAAACTTACCAAAGGCCTCTAAATAGGGATGGGTACCGAGACCTGGTATTAAATCGGCCCCAGTGCTAAATTATGAAAGAGCGGTTCATTGATAAGCTCTGACGTTAATGGTTCTGCTATCGGTAATGGCGAAATTATGAAAATACACATACATTTATTATTGTTATATAGACATCATCTTGCAAATTCTATCTCGCCAGCGTCACCAGATGCCAGTGCATCGCTATGATGCATTTTTGCTATTCACAATTCAAAAGAGAGATCGCGCTCACGTGGAGGAGCTACATAAACACGGTTTATATATATATATATATATATATATATATATATATATATATATATATATATACAGTATACTATATGTATATTAAACAAAAATTACAGATAATACCCATCCCTATCTTTAAATGATCAACACACAAACTACTCCATGCTTTCTATCTGACTGATAGTTTTGACTTTTTAGCAAGAAAAGGGCCTTTTAGTATAATTGTAAAAAATGCAGACCTTCAAATCTTTACTGCTTTTATAAAGTAAGTGTTACTGAATGAATGTGCTGCTTTTGAACTAACTGAGTGAGTCAATGATTCAGTGACTCATTCATAAAGACAGTCACTTGATTCGTTTTATGAATGAATCAGATAAATGAATGACTACGTCATTAAGACAGTGAATTGCCATCATCTATAGGTAGTTTTAGTTTCTTATTTAGAGAATCATTTCATTAAAAAAAAAAAATGTATACCCATTTTTAAGTTTTTTTATAGTGGGAAAACGGTCTTTAGATTACTAAAATGTTCTTCAAAGAAAGAAAAACTTTAAGAATTGTTCACTAAAAGGATTTTTGGGGCATCGCTTGTAAAAGCTCAGTTTTGGAGCTTGTATTGTGTGATTTCAGAGATATTGAGGACTGAACGTTCTTACTTTGAGAAGTGTAGTGGGATGTACGGCCTCCTTCTGCGTCCGACCGTCCTTTGAGAGGTTACAACACTGTGAGTACAAGTCCTCAAGGCACGGCATAGAAAACAACAGAACCTGCGGAGAGAACACAACCATTCTTGAGAATCTGAGCCTTGCATGGTCACATGATCTGTCAAAAGAGCGACACGCGTACCCTAACGGAGAAAGCATCATCTGTGGACTCGCAAACATCTGCTTCACTCTCCGGCTGGTTCGATCCCACGTGAAAGTGACACGGTCCTCTCAGAGGAAGAGGCTGGTCGAGTGGGAAACTCTCGGTCCAGGACAGCTGGAGGTGGAAGAGGTTGGAGGGCAGGTGCAGGTGTGGGTACCGCCGCTGAAGCTCCAGATAATCACAGGCCTGGCTGAAAGAATCAAGAGGAAATGACAATGAGACAATGACAAATGGCAATTTTCTACAGGCTGTGCAAGCCCTCCACTCTCTGAAAGCTCATCCACAACCCTTCCTCCTGAAACCATGAACACCTCACCCCCTCCCCAGGCCCGGTTCTACGGGGGTGCTAGAAGATGCGAAGCACCCTCAAACGAAATCAACAGCACCCTCAGTTAAAGCTGTAACAATGGCACCTCATTGCAGATTTGGCAAACTATCCAGTGCGTTATGATTTGCGTTCTAGGAGATCGGTTTCTATTTATTTGCAGCATTGAGCAATGTTAATCACAGACATATCTGCTTATTATCGGTTAGAATTACCGTTGAAGATAGAATCCCCTCACCGCTCAAATCGCTGGAGTTTTTGTTCAGGTGTTGTGTTCAGCACGAAATATATGCTGTATGTGTGTGTCTATATATGCATAATAAATATACACAGTACACACACATATATTATGTAAACAAAACCTTTTATTTTGGATGCGATTAATCGCGATTAGGGATGTAACGATTAACCGCGAGCCGGTTGAAAATCGATTCAAATATGTGACGATTCAAATCGGTTGAGATGCTAAACAAATCACGATTCATTTAGGGGTAGGAGTTTATATGAATGTATGTCTGAGGTGAACTTACTGTCTTTAGAAAAGTTTAGATGGTATTTTTTCATCTTGCCTCTGTATAATGCATATTAAAGTTCATAAGTGCAGCGCTGCTTTGTTTACAGCAGAAACCAAAGAAACGCTTTAAGCGCCACCTGCTGGCAGAGAGTGCATCTGCGTCTCGTTCAGCTCGTCTGCTGTTTCTGTTTCATGAAGATATTTTATGTATAGTTTCACAAAACTGAAGTAAAATCATTCTGTTTTGCTTCAAATTTCAAAATTATACAATCTAATTTAGATTAAAAACTGCTCATGTTGCATGTATGCAGCATCTTTGTTTGGATCAAGATTCAAATGCAGTGGTTGCCTCTAATTTTAAATGTTAAGAGCACAGACAAAGCCTTAGTTTGTTTATATGAAGAGATTTTTTTATTTGTGTTACTTATTTGATTTGGGGCTTGTTTTAAAATTTCAATTTAGTTTTATTTACATTTACATTAGCCTACATTTAAATTGTATTATTTAGCAAACGCTTTTATCCAAAGCGACTTTCAAATGAGGACAATAAAAGCAAATATATATATATACACACACACACACACGCATATCTATATATATATATATTATATATAATCAGTGATTTTATTCTGGAGCCGGGCCTGCCCCTCCCCCAACTCATGAAAACTGAATCTTTTTAAGTGTTAAGTTCCACACACAGGTGAGTGGGCTATACAAACCACCTGTAGTAACACTCTTTTTCACTCTTTTTCACTGTATGTACATTAGACACTTTTTATAAACACTCCCTGCTACAAAGACTCAATATGATAATATATTGTGCATTGCACTACAAATAATCTTGCACTATGCGCTGCTTCCCCCAAAATATCTCTTTTGCACAATTTCATGTAAAGTTTTTGTACAATCTCAAATTATGTGTAAGTTTATTCAACTATTTATATAGTATATGTATAGTCCGATGGTTAACTGTTGTATAGGTTTAGAATTGTTTTTCTCATACTTCTATCGTTGTATGTTTATATTTATGTTTAACTAGTATGTAGCACCGTGGTCCTGCGAGACACGACATTTCGTATGTAGCAGAATGACAATAAAGCTCAACTTGACTTGACGCTTTATCAGAACGTCCCGGCGTGTTGTTTCTGACCGACTTACGTGTCCCTGGAGAAACAGGTGAACAATGGAGCGCTGTGTGTGGATATGGAGCTGCTCTTTTTGGGCACTTCCTCCTCTGAAGCGGCCCTCCATCTTTTTCGTTTCTGGTGCATGGCGTCTCCTCCCCACGGCCCTCCGCCACCGTCCTCCCTGAGTCACGCCACAAAGAGCAACAAGGACACGCGTCAGCAGAGGAGCGAGTTAAAAACAGGACAGTCTTCAAGGACGGTCACACAAAACAACAGAATGAGGCACTGAAACAAATCAGACTGGAATGTTCTTGCAAACTTTTTGAAAGAAATCAATACTTTTATTCAGAGAGAGAGAGCATTAAATTGATCAAAAGTGACAGTAAAGACATTTACGAACTTGCAAAAGATTCTATTGAAAATAAAAGCCGTTCTTCTGAACTTTTTATTAATCAAAAATGTATCACGGTTTCCATAAACATAGTTTTCAACATTGATAATAATCAGGAATGTTTCTTGAACAGCAAATCAGCATATTATAATGATTTCTGAGGACTGGAGTAATGATGATGAAAATTCAGCTTTGATCACAGGAATAAATTACATTTTACAATTAATACAAGTAGAAATTTTTTTATTTTAAATTGTAATAATATTTCACAATTTTCACAATGCAATGCACTCAACTCAATTTAACCTTACATATCTAGTATAATGAATGATACAGATTGATCATCAACCTCAATTTTGCCTTATTATTTATTCAGACTGCCAAAAGTTCTATGCAAACTTAAACTAAAAATGCAAAATTCTCATTTTAATGTCTATGATATGTAGTTTCAGAAACTAAAATTTATGTTTTCTTCTTTCTTTTCTGAAGAAAGACAAATAATGATAAAAGGCAAAATATTAAATGGCATGGATGAATATTTACGGAGTAATCCACTATTTTGTAGAGGAAGGTCAAAATGTTTTTTCACCTGAGATTTGGAGCCAAATTACAGTGTAATGTGAAATGTAGCGCAGTCATGTGACAACAATGTAGCACAAAGCTGTTCACAAGCATTTCATCACTGCATACTGGATTTTTTTTTTAAATAGCATGCAGTACACAGTAGGCCTGGGCGATAAAACGGTATCGATATTTATCGACGGTACACTTTCATCAATAACGATATTAAAATGTTCGATATAGCGCACGATATAGGCACGTACTATGAGTGACGCAGACAGCTCACACAAACATGAACACATGCTGAATTGAGTGTTGTGCCAGTCTGTGATGAGGAGATTGTGAATAAAAAAAAAATTATATTAGTCGAATTTAAAATAAACATTTGCATTTGAATGCAAAAATAGTACAATCGAATGTTAGGAGTGCATCAGGGAGCGTCATCAGTGGTGCGCGAGATGCGGTGATGAGGATGTAAGTGACGTTGCGTTTTAATATTTTGTTAGTCTAGCCCACGAGAAGCGCCGCTGCTGTGTCATTCTTTCAAAATATTAGAGAAATAGAGTAGCTTAGGTTAAAACCAAAACCAAGCCATTCACACAGAACGCATTTTCAGCACATTTTTAGACGGACAAATATGACTGCTGCACTCGCGTCTCATGCAAGAGATGCAAAGAAAGTCATGCAAACAGTTTTAACGTTTAGAAAACGCAACGCGAATTTGTGAAGGTTTATTTCATTTCACTGCATCTCATATGTTTTTTAATGCAATCTGTGTGATCGGCGATTTGGCTCTTTGTATTAAGCAATGCATAAATACATGATGCTGTTTTGTTCATAATTGTTTATGCAGTTTACAAAATTATATTTGATTTATATATGTTAATTTAGACGTTATGCATGTTTTTATAGACAGTTATTTGAATTGACAGTTTAATGCGCTTCATTATTTTGCTAATTTCACCCTCCTGTGGCCTCGAGAAACAAGTCAAAAGTTTCCTTAAAAAAATAATGTATATATATATATATATATATATATATATATATATATATATATATATATATATATATGTTGTTTGTCTTAATAAAGTGGGCAAATTAAAAATACAGTGGTTAAATAAAAAAAAAAAATTTATATTGCTCTGTTTTAAAAAAGGTTATAAAAAATGTCAATAATTATCGATACCGAACGATATGAAACATATACCGTTGATATATTTTTTAGCTATATCGCCCAGCCCTAGTACACAGTATGCAGTACACTAGTATCCACTGCATTGTGACTCACCAGCGTCCACCTCTACGTCCTCCCATGACCTCAGCGTGTCTCTTCAGTCCTCCACCCCAACCGTCAAACGGACCGTTCCAGGACATCTGCTGGTGATGGGACATCTGCATCATGCCACCTGTCACATATCAGACCGCTAAATATTAGATATCATTCTAAAGCATCAGGTGACACCGAAGACTGGAGTAATGAAGCTGAAAATTCAGATTTGATTACAGCAATCAATTACATTTGAACTTATATTCAAAGTTATTTTAAAAGTGTAATGTGAAATGTAGCGCAGTCATGTGACAACAATGTAGCACAAAGCTGTTCACAAGCATTTCATCACTGCATACTGGATTTTTTTTTTAAATAGCATGCAGTACACAGTAGGCCTGGGCGATAAAACGGTATCGATATTTATCGACGGTACACTTTCATCAATAACGATATTAAAATGTTCGATATAGCGCACGATATAGGCACGTACTATGAGTGACGCAGACAGCTCACACAAACATGAACACATGCTGAATTGAGTGTTGTGCCAGTCTGTGATGAGGAGATTGTGAATAAAAAAAAAATTATATTAGTCGAATTTAAAATAAACATTTGCATTTGAATGCAAAAATAGTACAATCGAATGTTAGGAGTGCATCAGGGAGCGTCATCAGTGGTGCGCGAGATGCGGTGATGAGGATGTAAGTGACGTTGCGTTTTAATATTTTGTTAGTCTAGCCCACGAGAAGCGCCGCTGCTGTGTCATTCTTTCAAAATATTAGAGAAATAGAGTAGCTTAGGTTAAAACCAAAACCAAGCCATTCACACAGAACGCATTTTCAGCACATTTTTAGACGGACAAATATGACTGCTGCACTCGCGTCTCATGCAAGAGATGCAAAGAAAGTCATGCAAACAGTTTTAACGTTTAGAAAACGCAACGCGAATTTGTGAAGGTTTATTTCATTTCACTGCATCTCATATGTTTTTTAATGCAATCTGTGTGATCGGCGATTTGGCTCTTTGTATTAAGCAATGCATAAATACATGATGCTGTTTTGTTCATAATTGTTTATGCAGTTTACAAAATTATATTTGATTTATATATGTTAATTTAGACGTTATGCATGTTTTTATAGACAGTTATTTGAATTGACAGTTTAATGCGCTTCATTATTTTGCTAATTTCACCCTCCTGTGGCCTCGAGAAACAAGTCAAAAGTTTCCTTAAAAAAATAATGTATATATATATATATATATATATATATATATATACAGTATATTAATTATAATTGTATTCCTTAAAAAACCGTTGATATATTTTTTAGCTATATCGCCCAGCCCTAGTACACAGTATGCAGTACACTAGTATCCACTGCATTGTGACTCACCAGCGTCCACCTCTACGTCCTCCCATGACCTCAGCGTGTCTCTTCAGTCCTCCACCCCAACCGTCAAACGGACCGTTCCAGGACATCTGCTGGTGATGGGACATCTGCATCATGCCACCTGTCACATATCAGACCGCTAAATATTAGATATCATTCTAAAGCATCAGGTGACACCGAAGACTGGAGTAATGAAGCTGAAAATTCAGATTTGATTACAGCAATCAATTACATTTGAACTTATATTCAAAGTTATTTTAAATTGTAAAAATATTTCACAATTTTAGTGTTTTTACTGCTCAAATAAATGCAGCCTTGGTGAGCAGAATAAGAGCCTTTTAAAAGAATCAAATAAAATCTATTTTGACCAGCACTGTACTTGCCAAATGTTTTTATGTCATTTATTTTAGCTTTATTTCCATTAACAAAAATGTTTCCTAACAGTTTTAGTTAACGATAACAACACTGTATCATGTACCAGGATTTGGCTGCATGCTGGGAATCAGTGGTGGTATTTTGGGAGATTTCAGCAGAGGCTGCGGTTTGGTCCCTAAAATGCCAGGCTTCGGATTGGATGACATGGAGGGCAGCAGCGGAGGAGGAGATTTGAAGGGCTGACAGAAAGAAACCAGAGAAAGAGACAAACGCTCTGAAGATCAGGTATAAAAGATAACATGGTAATTATACACTCCTTCATTATACTCTCAAGTCATTAAACACGCAGCATCTTGAAACCAAATATTTACATTTTTAGATTACAAATTTTATTTAATTTTAACCTCCAAGAACTATCATGTTCTCAATAGGCCTGTCGCAATAATCAATATATCGACTTATCGCGCAATATATGTACATGACCTCAATAATTTTTGGTGACGCAATATATCGCCCATTATATTTACTTAAAAATTTATGTCACCGTGTTTTTTACATTCCACTTCCGCCTGTGTCTTTTGCAGCTTCTCGTACATAACGTGGTACACATCTCGTACTACTGCGCGTAGTGGTCAAATTAAAAATCTGCAGATATGGTCTTGTTTAGGGATCTGACTGATAAGTAGTGATTGTTTTTCAGCAATAGTGTGCACCCTTAATTTACAGAGAAAAGAAGGTCAGGAAAAAATCTCCATACTTCTACATGTTCTTTGTGCATTTTTCTTTTTTTCTAATTGTTACTTTGCACTTTTTGTTAGAACATGTTCATTTACTATTTATTCAGGTTTTTTAAGGTATCTAATATTTTGATACTTAATTTGCATGATCTACATATTTTTTAAAATTTAAAGTTTGTTGTCATTTGGAAGTGTGCAGGCCGTCTTGCATTATTATGCTGTTACATTAGGATTATATATTCAGTGGCATAAAATGGTCTTTAAAATGACAATAATATCGCTTATCGCAATTATTTCTGGGGCAATATATCGCACAACCAAAATATGTTATCGTGACAGGCCTAGTTCTCAAATGATTAATATAAATGTTAATAAACAAAACATTATTTATAATTAAGGCAAATTGAACCTTTCATTGTTACAGATATTCATTGTTGGCCCATGTTTACATGCAAAATTCTATTTTCATAAAATAGTCAACATATGTGCACAATTTCATGTATACTACCATTTAGGATCAATAAGATTCTATTAAAAGAAATTAATACTTTTATTCAGCAAGGATGCATTAAATTGATCAAAGGTGACAGTAAAGACATTTATAATGTTACAAAAGATTTCTGTTTTTAAACTTTCTATTCATAAAAGAATCCTGAAACATTCTATCACAGTTTCCACAAAAATACGAAGCTGCAAAACTGTTTTCAACATTGCTAATAATCAGGAATGTTTCTCGAGCAGCAAATCAGCATATTATTATGATTTCTGAAGGATCACGTGACACTGAAGATTGGAGTAATGCTGCTGAAAATTCAGCTTTGATCACAGGAATAAATTACATTTTAAAACACATTCAAATATAAGATTGATATTTTAAATTCTAATATTTCACAGTGTGCATGTTTAGTGGAAGTTCATATTTCTGTGCTTTAAAACTAAAAACATGTCAATGTGAACTTCCGAAGAAAGTCCGAACAGTCCAAAATCATGAAAAAAAGAAACTACAAGAAAGTATTACTTTCATTATTTACTCTACAAACACTGCTTATGCAAATACGTGCATTTCTATTATATAGCGACCTTTTAAAGAGGATGTTATTGAAATATTAGCCAAAAACCTTTCTGCCCACCTGTCCGTTCAGCGTCTGAACTTTCTGTGCAGTCCAGCTGATGGGCTTCAGGGGGTCCTGGACCGCTTTTACCAACACTTTTTCTCCCACCAGGGGCACACGACCCACCACAACACTGCGGCACAAACCACAAACAGACCTCACAGCATCACATCAACCTGACACTCAGGTTATGATTCAGAATCAGTGTAGGGAAGGTTACTTTGGAAATGTAAAAGGTTACAGATTACAAGTTACCCTGTCTAAAATGTAACAAGTAGTGTATCTATTTCAATTACTTTACTAAAGCAATGTAACTGATTACATTTGATTACTTTTCTACATTTCTAATGTTTTCAACTGTTAATAATTTTCAAACATATAAACCAGGCAGGGTTAATTTTACAGTACTCAACACTGATTAGTCCTTCATCACTTGAATTAAGATTATAATAATTTAAAAGCACAGCTACCACAAAATAACTTACTTTGAGGTCATTCTGAGGTTACGTACAGATTTAAAACCATAACAAGAAACAGTTTAGTTGCTATGATACTGTTTTTTAAATCAAATCTTTGCATACATTTGTCATGACAGTAAACACTGGCATCTAACAATGCCTTAGGAAAAACAGTTCATCTTAAAAAATAAAGCATATGGCATAAATCCAAATAGTAAATAAAACAGTTATCGACTAAGCATGTGTCCTAAACTCCTGAAACATTGGTGTCTCATATCTTAGAGTTTATGTATTGCAATTTATGAATGGAATCAATTAAAGGGGTCATATGATGCTTTTTTAAAGATCATTATTTTGTGTATTTGGTGTAACAGGATATATGTGGGTGTGTGTGAAAAAATCTGATGTAACTCCCTTTATAATCGTTAGAGTAGTTCACTTCCAGAAAAAAATGTACAGAGAATGTACTCACCCACTTGCCATCCAAGATGTTCATGTCTTTCTTTCGTCAGTCGTAAAGAAATTATGTTTTTTGAGCAAAACATTTCAGGATTTCTCTCCATATGATGGACTTCTATGGTGCCCTGAGTTTGAACTTACAAAACGCCGTTTAAATGCAGCTTCAAAGGGCTCTAGCGAAGCGATCGGTTATTTTCTAAAAAAACAAATAAATGACAATTTATATACTTTTTAACCTCAAACACTGGTCTAGCTCTGCGTGAACTCTGTTTTTTCCGGTTCATGACAGTTAGGGTATGTCTAAAAACTCCCATCTCATTTTCTCCTCCAACTTCAAAATCGTCCTACATCGCTGTTTTGCCATTTTTATATAGAGCATTTGATCTTCTTTGCATGTTCACCTTTCGCACCGCTTTAGTTCCAGAACTAAATGTACGGTACTAAAGTACTGAGACGATTTTGCGCGAACTATTTCCCAGTACCATTTAAAGGGTTGCATTCGCACCGAGAGTGTGTACTAAGAAGTGACGTAAGCCAGTCGACAGCGACGTCATTTGTGCGCGGCGTTCAACAACAGAAACAAAGAAGAACAACGTTAACAACAGGAGGATGGAGGACGCTGTGATCGGAGCTGTGTTTTTGTTGTGTCTCGCGGGTTTCACAATAATGGACATGGAAAGTCGACGTATACGTAAAGCGATTGAAAGAACGGAAAGGAGGACTAAGAATCTCCAACGACAACTGGCAGTGCTACAATTGCTACAAGTGCCTGCACTTCAGCATCCGTCCATCTATCGCTGTTCTCCATACTTGCGAAATAAGTTGACACAATGTTTACAGTATGTTTACACTACGTTTTAAATCATGGCGGGTGAGGGCGTTTTCATACGCGTTTGGCCTACTTACGTCATGGGTAGTACCGGTTGTGCTGGTTAGACCCTGCTCCAGAGTAGCAGCTAATTTGGTTCTCGAAAAAGGCAGTCCGGTACTAAAGTCGCTCCCAGTTCCAGAGGTGCGAAAACGCCAAAAAGTAGGTAGTTCCACAATTAGTTCTGGTACTATGAAAAGGTTCACGCGGTGCGAAGGCCCTATTGTAAACACTGGGTCGGTACTTCTGCAGCGATGTAGGACGATTTTGAAGTTGGAGGAGAAAATGAGATGGGAGTTTTTAGACATACCCTAACTGTCATGAACCTGAAAAAAACTGAGTTCATGCAGAGCTAGACAAGACCAGCCTTTGATGTTAAAAAGTATTTACATTTGTATTTTATTTTATTTTTTAGAAAATAATCGATCGTTTCGCTAGATAAGACCCTTCTTTCTCGGCTGGGATCGTTTAGAGCCCTTCGAAACTGTGTTTTGTAAGTTCAAACTCAGGGCACCATAGAAGTCCATCATATGGAGAGAAATCCTGAAATGTTTTGCTCAAAAAACATAAATTCTTTACGACTGAAGAAAGAAAGACATGAACATCTTGGATGGCAAGGGGGTGAGTACATTCTCTGTACATTTTTGTTCTGGAAGTGAACTACTCTAACATTTTCATAAGCAACTGCAATTAAATTACACATTTTTTTTATCAGTAAATGTTACAATTACATTTATTTTGTAATTAACTTGCGTAATTTAGTTACATGTAACTAGTTACTCCCCAACACTGTTCAGAATAAACCAAACACACTAACCTCACTGGAAAATGAACCTCCTGATCCACAATCCCATGATGCTCCTGCATCTGTGTGACCACCCCGGTGAACACACGCTGCCTCATCTGAACACAGAAACATTCAATGTTCACACAATAATACATCAGAAAGTGTATCTTTATGCACAATAACGATGAACAAATTCTCATCATGTACGTTAGCTATACCTGTGTCTCCATATCAGATTTTCTTTTCTCCTTGTAATGCAAAAGAAAGTATACTGAGTGCTTTGGGACACATGCATGTACAATAGAAATGCACGAATTAAATCTATGAAATAAATAGTCTTGTCTGTTGTGTAGGTGAACAGCAGCGTGTGTTATATTCACTTCCTCCTGCAGCAGCGTTACAGTGACGGCGGTTTAATGCAGCTTTCCCGTACCCACAGATATTTATTTAGGACTTATCTATAAGGAGAGGTGTTGATTAATGTCCTGCGACATTTAAGAGGTGAAACTTACTCGTATTTTGTGTTCGTGCTCTGCTTTTCCTCTACGTTGATGCTTTTGTTTGTCTTCTGTCAGTTCATCAAAAGGGCGTTTCGCATCAGCGACATCCAGCGGTCAGTCGGAGTAACTGCAGGTGAAACGCCTTAAACCGCGTTTGGCTGTAAATGCAACGCGGGAGACCGTGCAAAAACATGAAATGTGACGTAAAGATTCTTGAATCGCTTTCTAGACTTTGTTATTCTTCATAGGCGGTCGTATTTGTATGAAAGCGACGTCTTGTGGTTTGACCTGCAGTTCACCTCCAGTACCGTGGGTGGCGCTGAGGCGCAGCGCGGTGTAACGTCTCGCTCGTCTGTGCGCAAAGTAAACACACGTGTGAAGATGGAGGAGGATACGCTGCACTCTCATGAGATGGGTTTATATGATCGGCTGTTAAAGGTGAAACACACAGTCGTGCTATTAATATAAAGTCTGTCTACCTGGAAATGCCAGACACTAGGATATTAACAGTTGTTTTGTGCAGTTTGAATGTAGTTAGTGTCTGGATTAACATTGTTTACATGTTTTCATTTAATATTAATAATATATATAATTTTCGCTTAATTTCAATTATCACAATTATTTTAATTATTTTATTTATAGATGAGAATACAAATCGTTCACTTACACAGTTTAAAGCTTTCGCTCACTGTTTGATCTACATATTGATATAATAATGGCATATTGTTTAGTTGGGCAGCAGTGATTTTTAATAGTATTGATGTACCATTATATTTTTTTATATTTCGAATTGGATAAAATGTTTTCTGTTTTCAGTTTAATTTTAGTTAAAGGTTTAGTAATTTGTGTCATTAAAAAAGTTTTTTTTTTTTTTTTAAATTTTTCCTTAAAGTTTTTTTT